TCTGCGGCGGCGAGCATCGCCGAGCGTCCTGCAGACAGGGTTTCATAAAATATTGATAGACGTGAAGTTGGCAGCGCACACTCGCACTCGTACCCGCTTCCTGTTCGTGTCTGTCGCAGCCATAAATAATTTGCTGTAAATGCAATCGTGGGGTTATACGGGGCGTAACCGAGTCCGGCAATGGACTAACCGTACCGTACCGTACCATACCCTTGTTTCGTGTTCGGGTTCGGGGTCGGGCCTGGTAGGTAGCTGCGATGCTAATGGCAAAGCACACGGTGCGAAAGTGTTTCGTATGAATTATTCGCTGAGAGCCAATTTGGAGTCACGTTTACCAGCACAATTGAAACCGAACACCATCCTGAAGCTGCCATCGAACGGTGGTTGGATACCCGTCTGTGGCGGGGGCTGGGGCTGTGGCGGTGGCTGGAGATAGGGCTGGTTGGCGCCATTGCCACCCACAGCACGATATGACGCTCCCTCTGTGCTGTCGAAATGTTGTAATTTGTTATGTCTGCCACTGTAGCTGCTGCTTCTGCTACGACGAGTATCTTGTGCTTTTTAATAGCTATTCGCTGGCTGCCTTAGCCGCTCGCCTGTTGTGCCTTTATCGTTGCCGCCGAAACCACCCCGCCCTACATGCGGCGGCCTGGTGCATGGTAATGTGTATTTAATGACCCCATCTCATGTACACGCCGGAACATAATGCTCGCACGCCTGCTCCAGCTTCTGCTCCTGGCCTTGGTCATGAGCACCCGTTGTCCCCAACGGTCTCGGCGGCTCCTAATGTCCACTGACCGCAGCCATCTGACAGAGCAGGATGCCTGACTGGTGCCAATAAAGAAGCCTCCTGCGCCTTTTGGCACGCATTTCAATTTGCTGCTTCTTTTTTTTTTATTGTATGCGTTCATAAAACGTGGGCACTAATGTGCGGACAAAGCACCCTAATTGTCCGCCAGCCCAGCTATCGTATCTCTGGTATCTTTGATTATTGGGGGATAGCCTTTTATATTTGGTTTTGAGTATTCCATATGTGGAAAAGGGGTCCAGGTTGCAAGCAGATAACTTATATGTAAGCTGGGTCAATAATATCAATAAATGGTACGAGTATGCATATACATACATATACAGTTACACTACAGTAAGCAGGATGTCAAATTGTGTCCATTCTTAACCTGAGAGGTGATTAAATTACATTAACCTGCACTCGAGGGCCCACAGTCTGCCGTGGCTAATTAATATGCATTCTGTAGCTATCCTAAGATGCAATACGATGACTTGGAGCCCCTAAGCAATATCTTCACAGACGACCAAACAGCAACAATACCCTTAAGGGGGCATAAGTGCCTTATTTACTCGACTGCTCAGCTGATTGGCACTTTCTCTCAAACAATTGTCCCTAATTGCAGACACTTCAGGATAGTCGCACTGCCTCTGCTCCTGCCCAATGCCACCACAGTAGGACCGAGGAGGTGGTCTCGCACGCCTCCTCGTTCTTTCAGTCCCCCTGTTCAATACAATTTTCATTCAGTTTTCATCGCAAAAGATGGGAATATGATAGGAAGATGAAGGAATTTGCATAAAGCTTTTAACCTAACGATGCGACATTTGCTTTTTATGTGATTCATGGCCCCCCCCACTCTGAAACAGAAAGTGCAACGATATGCCCCCTCGCCAGCCCCCACCAACTTCCGCACAATTATACGACAATTTTAGACACAACAATCGCTTTCAATGACCATCAGCAGAGTGAAACGAATGGTTGGATCTGGATACTGGGCTGGATGCTGGGCCAAGACTTTTGATTTCGAAGCGGCTGGGTCGCTTAAGCAGCTTGATGCCACCTCTGGAGTGGGTAAAAGCTTCCACAATGGCTGACAGGGAGCTTTCCCCGACCCGCCGCTGCCCGCCTCCGCGGCTGCTTTTATTATTATTCTCCGGCGTCTGCCTGCAACTGTCAGTTGGGTAATTTATAATGAAGTTTCCTTATTGACAATGGCAGGCGGGAATTCCCCCGCCAACTCGTAGCAGAATGACGATTCCGACTCCGATTCCGACTCGGATTCGCCTTGGAGTTCGCGTTTGCTTTCGAATTTCCGCTGCACTGATTTTAGTTGGCATGCATGCCGCTCGGCATAAATTATGGACAACAATGATGCTCGGGCTCCTGCGTGGAGGGTGCGATGCAATAAATTGCTTGTCAAATCGCGACTCCACTGACAGGCAGCTAACTAAGAAGTTTGCCAACCGATTGGATGGCAAACAAATAACAATCAAAATCACTTCTCGACCCCAAGTCGATTTATATGAGAAATCACAGCAGTGAGGCCCTAATCGCTGAGGCCAGCCGCATCATGAGATCGTCAATCGTTTTGATTTATTGCCATTTTATTTGCGCATATCCTTATTTACTTTGTGTCGACTTATGGCTCAGGCCTCGGACCCGACTCTTGCCAGCCTGCCCGCCTGCCTCCCTGCCCCGGGCACGACCCCAATCGCTGCCAGCAGCCAGCAGTCGTCAGCCTCGACTGGGGGCTATTTTATTGTTCGATACGTTATCAGAGAGCGGTCCAAGGCCGGCCCAGAAGATGGCAAATATCATAATTTTAGCAGGACCCGCTGCCTTGTGTTTGCCCGTCCTGTCACAGTGCCATGCCGAGCATAAATCTAAATTAAATGCCTTTTTGAACAGCGGCAGGAAAGAAGCGAAAAAGAAATTATTCATATTCAGCACATTGTCACTTGTTGTGGCCGAGACAGCGACTTGGACTCGGACTTGGACGTGGAATTGGACGTGGACTTGGACTTGGAGTTTAACTATTACTCCGCTGGGGACTGGGACTGGGAGTGGGACTGGGAGTGGCCTGCTTAGTGGCCTGCGGAAATAAATATTAATCATTGTGTAATAATTTTCTGCTGTCAGCTAAATTTAAGCAAAGTATTCATAATCCAGCAGTAAGAACCGCTTTTGACAAATCGTTTTGCGGGCCAGCCGTATTAATATTTATATTTACGAGTGTATTCCTTGCCAGCCAGGACTAGGGTTGCCTGCCTGCTGCTGGCGATGCTTCTGGCGCAGGTCGAGGCAGTGGCAGTTAAAATGCTTTTAAACTTGGCAAAGTTGTGCGTGTGCGGCATTCACTGATTTGATTTCCTTAATGCTGTTTTCATTTGTTTCTCTCAACTTTTTCCGCAGTTGGGCGCAACTGTAAATCAGTTCTATCTGCGGCCAGATCCTTTGATGTCGGGCTAGGGTTAGGGCTACGGCTAGGGCAACGGTTAGTTCTAGGAATGGGCATGGGCCTGGGTCTGAGACTGGGCCTGGCCAGAGTAAACGAGATTGCAATAATCAAAATGTAATAAACAGGCCGGAGAGAGATTCCTTCACACATCTCCACTCACGGGCACACGCACACACCCGGATACACACGAAAAAAAGCGCTTTCAACTCCTGTTGGGTCAAACAAAAACGTTGCCTATGCATGGGTCCTGTACGCTGCCGGCTTTGTCCTTTGGTTGACTCTTGGCATTCGATGCACGTAACGCATTGTTTGAATTTCATGGCGACTTTATGAGTTTTGTAATCAGGTTTGTGAGCAAACAGACCCAAACTCACCCACCACCCACACACAGGCACACAGGCACACACGCACACACATGCACATGCTAGGTCGTGTTAACCTGCCCATAAATATTGTTTCTAGACGCCGCCGCTCAGATGTGGGCGTGTTGACAAGTCGACCGCCTGTTAATGCTAATGAAACCTGAGCGGGCTCAAAGTGTGGGCCTCGGAGTTTGGGCTCTCCTCCTATTAAGCCATTTTGTGGTCTACAAAATCCACTTAAAGCGTCTGGCAACAAAGGAAAATATTTTATTGCACACTTTTATACGCAGACATTACCTGCAACGCACCTCGGACCAGCCCGGACCGGCATTGGTAAAAATGCTCAACAATGTGATTTATACCAGTATGCAGTCTGGAAGCACTTAAAACTAGACACACACACACACACAATAGACTAGCCACACCCCCAACGCCTCCTTTGTTGTTTGCTGCCACTTTTGGATCACTTCCAGGGCTTATGTAGTCAGCGCCGTCTGCGACCGTCCCCCGCCCCCCTTGGGTGGCCGGGAGAACCGCACAAAAGCCGCCTTGTAGCTGGTGCTGATGGCCAGAAATTAACTAGGCAGCACTATTGGCTACAAAGTTGCCACGCCAGAAACAATAGATCTCTCATGCACTGAGAGTGTGAGCCCTGCCATCTCGCCAAAGCAAACAAATACAGCTTCATTGTCCCACCTCGTCCCATCCCACCCATCAGATGCCATCCCATCCCATCGAATCTCATTCCAGCTCTGTTTGCATGTCTGGCCATCGGCCGTCCACTTCGAAGCATTAAATAAATATTTGCCATACTCTGCAGGAATTTTGAGCCCCTAGTGCCACAGCCTACAACAACCCTCGACCCCTCCCCCCCCGACAAGAAGGAATATTCTAAATATCGTATCATCAGCATTTTTCGATAGAGTCGCCCCGGACATGGGGCCACGTCACACAGCCGTGCGGTCTGTGGGCAGTCCGGTGCTTACCATTTATTTTTTGATTTGGGTATTTAAGGTGTGGATGGATGTGTGAAAGGCGGCCGTGCGTGTCCGAGCCTGGGCTGGGTACCCCTGCGACCCGATGGTCGATGGTTGGGTGGCTAGTGTCAATACTCGCATGACAGTATCCCTGCGAGTGTGCCGACAACTTAAGTGGAATTTTGTTTGCTCCAGCGGTGCAATCAGATGATATTAATCGCGAATGAAGGACAGTTATTAGTTTCTGGATAAAGGTTTCGATAGCGGAGCAGCATCGAAATTTATTGCCGACGTTACACCATACAGCTATTAGAAGAGCTCCTCTTTTAATCCATGCACTTTGGGAAAAGCCCCTCTGGAGTTATTACTGGTACTTAAAAACTATAGATTTAATATTCTGTCAAAGTAAAAGACTCCAATGCTTTCTCTTCGCAGCGTTTAACGTAAATTTTTTAGAATATGTAGTTTGAATGTGCAATATTTGAAGTGGGCCCAGGTTGCCTATGTTTTCTTTCGGACAGTGTGATCGTACAATATCATGAACCCGTACAGGTTGGACTTAATCATGGTGCGTTTGACATTGCTATTAAAGGGGGTTCTCCGGTTTGTTACCGGAATGAGCTTGTGATCGCCTTTGTGAATGAAGAGGAGGCCGTGCTCTGCATGGGCCACAGTTGTGTAGTTGTCATTGTCGTTTGCGAAGATCTTTCGGCTGCGCCAGTCATAGAATACCACGTCGGAGGGCTGGGGACGCAGTAGCTTCCTCTCCTGGAAGATGGCCGGCCAGTTGACGGCATTGGGTCCGTCGAGTCTGAAGTTCCGCAGACTTGACTCAAAGTCTATATAGCCGGATATGGCGAAGCCGCTCTTCTGGTGTACCTCCAGGAAAATTATGGTCTGTTTGGAGAGTTAGGTCTGTTCATCTGTGCTGTATTGTTTGTATTGCTCATACGCACCGAGATCTCCTGCTGCACGTTAGAAGCCTCACGTTCGGCCAGCGCCACGAGAGCAGCATCATCTCCCTTCAAATAAGGGCTGTAATAAGCATGCAAGACTACTGACGGATGCAGCAGAGCTTCCACTTGTTTCTTGGCCATTAGAAACTGTTCCTCATTATAGACATTACCATTGTCGCGGTATCCGAGTTTCGTCACGGTTCGCACTGTTCTATGACACGGCAGATAGCGATAGTCCTGGACGATGGCAAACGACCTCAGATAATCCTCGTAATTGTGGTACTTGACCACGTTGAAGTCCGTCATCGCTCTCACCACCTAACGACCGCTCAAAAATGTATCTGTGTCTGTTTGAAAATATATTTCCCTTTTTAGTTGTACTGGTATTGTTGTAGTATTTATTTAGTAGTGTCTGTGTTGCTGACTAAAATCACATAGGCTATTACTTTGACATACATTTCACTATTTTCCACACTAGCGTAATCCCTGTTAACCACGATCAGATGGTATTTTCGAAAAGACGGATTGCAGCATTAGAGCACGTACGGAATCAAACCGCAAATTATGAATCAGTTCACAAAAGCCCGCTCCCTTTAATATCTGGACTTTGGGGTATTTTTGAATACAGATTGTTTCAATACCACTCGATTTTGTGACCTATCGGCTGGTATAATATCAACACACATCAATATACGAGAACATGCATTAATTTTATTTGTCCTTCAGCTCTTTCGCGGATAACCAGCAGTACAGACATGGCACATATATGTACAAAAGCATTGACATGTTTATCCTTTTCAGCCCAAATTTGGACCCAAAAATTTAGAGCCGGGAGTGTTTAAAGGGGAGTCTCTGCCTATTTAAATTTATCAACACTTAGAAAACACACCCGAATTCGCGCTCCGAGCACGCACACGTGGAGTGCCGAACAGCTGGCATAACAATAGCAAAAATTTTCAATGCGTGCTCAACATTCGAATCGGAAATAATTAACTTGCATGCTAATTAGTTGAACTGTCAATAGGAGGCTCTGGGACCTCGAGTATTTATTGACATTAAAACAACCCGCACACGCGGCACACGAGCCGGAAAGAGGGCTCCTGTTGTTTACGGCCCAATGAGTGGCCTGCCTGCCCGATGCCTGCGATAACTGAAATGTGTTTTAGTTGCATAAATCCCCACTCAAGCGATGGGGTCTATGTCTATCTGGCATTTAAATATATCAAGTGGCAGCCCTGATACTCGCTGTTATTTACATGGACCCAGGCGCAAACACGCACACGGAGCCATCAACAACTGCAATATCAGCAAGCTCTTTGCGAGTGTAATTTAAGGCCTCAGTATAAATCATCAGGTCACCCACAGCCCACAGCCCAGGGCCCAGAGCCCAGAGCCCACATGCCTGCAGACCCCCATCAGCCACTCACTCACACGAAGAGACAATTCTGTAAAACACTTTGAGCGTCCTTTCCTTTCCCAGCCATGGCGCTGCCTGGGCATGTGTTGAATAAATTTATTGTTGTGCATAATGCTGCCCAAGACCGCAAACTTAAAAAATTGCCATCACGACTATGAATATAAAATGCATTGCATTTGTGAAGAGCAGCGGCTGCAAGCGCAGTCCAGAATAGATGTCCCCTCATACGAGGAAGATGTGTGGAAGATGGCAGCATTTAAGAGCATGAGGAATGGTCGCGACGAAGCGCGATGCTCCTTCAGATGCTGCCTTGTAGTCATAATTATGAATATTAATTGCAGTGTGACCCGAGAAAACGTTTTCCACAGGCGGATGACACGCCCTAAGCGGCTGGCGACAGCCAATCGCAATCCCTAAAATGCTATGCAAATAGACTCAAAACTAATGGCGCAAAAAGGAGTCTATGAATATATCACAGAAGATTAAGTCCCCAATGATGTGAGAGGGGATGAATGCGCCAAAAAGTGCCTGACTCCCCGAACCCTAACTCGAACGCGTCCAAACCCATATGCACAAACAGACAGAACCTAAACAAATAGACGCAGAAAGTATTCCTCCAGAAAGTGATACGTTACGGCTCCGTTTCCAATGTCAGAGAAACAAACAGTTCATACTAGGGTTTGCCCAAATACAGTCTTCATTAAATATGCATATGTCGATATCATGATGAAGATACACGACTTACTAGAAGGGTATCTGAGACACATTAAGTATGTATGAGGGGCTTCGACGATTTAAATTCCTTAAAAAGTCACAGCCATAATTTCCACATTGAATTTCGCTTTTTTCCGCCATCAACGCTTTATATTCAATTTCATTTATGTACTTGAACCATTTGGTTCGATAGGATTTTCGGTAATTATTTTCCCATGTGCCTGTGAGAGCTTTGTAATTTTGGTGAGCGAGTGCACTTCAAAGTTTTTCCCAAGTGCTACACGGCGTAGGCGTAATTTTTCAATTCGCAGCCGTTCCAAAGGTCTCCTAGTGTATCAGTGTGTCTCTTTTTGTCCTCTTTGGCTGTCATGTTTCATATCTGTGTGTGTTTCTGGTTGAGGGTGTGTGTGTGTGCATGCAAGTATAACATATATATTCTGTTTTTGTTCTCTTTTTGTGCCCTGTTGATGTTTAGTTTTTAGACAAGCCGGAAAATATATTTGGATTTTATGCAAATTTTAATTGCTTTACTTTGCCAGAGAAATTTATGACCGTCAACCAGAGGCAAAACAAAAAAAAACGTTTCGAAAAAAGGGAAAGGAATCATCTGCATTAATATTTTAGTGGTGCCAAAATAAATAATATCCATTCTCGATGGTCAATCCCCGCCGTTTTCGGCAATTACCCAACATGTCTACTGGTTGCCAAAATGATGACCATCAATTCTCGGAATTCATTCAAAATTATTGCCAGAATCGGTTCTACCTGAATAGCTGATAGACTCTCCAGACAGGCAGTCCAATCGTGGCTGCTAATTCGATTTCCTGACATGCCTTTATAATGGTAGATCCTGAATGGGGAGCTGCTTGACAGAATCGACGACATTTTTATCGGTACAAATTTTGGCATACGTCTCGCTTTATTGTTTGTGACTTGAGAAATGGTGTTCCTCGTTTTATTTAATTCCAATTTAATCTTTTCTGACAGGGTTGTGAGGGGGTTGTTGGGCTATTAGTCTGGGGCGTGGTTGTATTGTTGCGGCACTGCAGTTGTTATTTTAACGAGAATCAATTTCTGCTACATTGACAGAAATGTGCATAATAACAGAAATGCTTTTTCCATTCCCGATGCAAAGGAAGTCATAAATAAGCCAATAGCTGACTGGGCAGTCCACGTCCGCCCAGCGTCTTCATCGTCCGTCTTCCTTTGTCGGGTGCCCGAGATCACCCCAGTCCTGCTTTGGCAACAAATGGCAAAAGCGGGGCGCGCCCATTTTTATGCTGCATCTGCGCCAACAGTCGGCTGTCCACCCGGAGGCGACTCCGTCCTATGCCGAGTCCCGCATGGGCGCAAATCAAGTTATTACGGACATGCCCTGAACTCTTGGCTGGGTGCGTCACATATGGCGAGCATAAATAGCTTCAGTATTTCCCATTGACTGGTCGTCCCGTTCCCGTTCCGCCTGCTGTTGCTGCTGCTGTCTACAAACTTTCTTTATACGCTTTCCATGAACATTTCGTGGCTGGTCTGGTTTATGTATTTAATGGACTTTGCACAACTTTTTTCTCTGTTTTTCCATTATTTGATTCGCTTTATTTTTTGTTGGCAACGAGTGCGCTCCCCCACTACAAGGCATACGACTAAAACGACCAAAACGACCAAGACGAGGACGTATTATGTCCATTGGCAAAGTTTTGTGACGCCGCCATTTATAACCCCTTGCATCCATCCAGATTATTAGCAGGACCCACCGAAGTAGAGCAGGGCCAATTATTTTTCGCCCTCGCCCCCATGGAACACAACCACAGTCAGCTAATATACAATGAATTGTAATAGCGGAGTATAGTTTCACTTACCCCCCAAAAAAACCATTAAAGTCAGCCTCTTTCAGGTGTTTTGCTTAAAGTAACAGCCTTGACATTTCCACCAGCCACCAACCCAACTCACCTTCAACTCTGGCTGGGCTCACAAAGAGATAGCCATAAGGTCTTTTATTTGGCTGGCTTACAAATTCTTTTCAATGAGCTCTTTGCATAGCCGTCGCTTGCATCTGAAAGGGCAAAAGTTAAACCAACAGTCGACCACGCATTGGGGCTGAAAAAGAATTTTTTCTGAGCCCGAACCAGTGCTAGCTGGGAAAGCTGGTAGTGAAACCCTCTCAAAGGCAAAATATCAACGTAGACGTGCAATGATTTTACCATTCCAAAACTGGTCCAAAACTTATCTGAACGTGCGGCTCAGAGCTGTGCAGCAACAACAAGCACCACCAAAAAGCCTTAGAAGCATAAACAGAGCGCTTTGGTGCTACATAGTTCCGAAATGAAAATATCCAGTTGTCCAGTTAAAGTCTCACTGGTAGAGAGCTTGGGTTGGATAGAATTTTCTGCCAATGGAAATTTATATTCTCTCTTCTCGCTATTATATGATTCAAACACCTGGTATAGGGGATCAGTTTCGCGATTTTAAGGGCAGGAAGGGGGCGAAGTACCAAGCGGTAAGTGCCAAAAAAATAAGTCGGGACCACTATATTCTACATTGAAACTATATCCATAACTAACTAATCAGCTACCTAGCGACGTGTAACAAGAGAGAAGAAGGATGCAAATCGCGAAATCACGTGGCATCCGAAGTGTTGTAGATACTTAAAAGCCATAAAATATAGATTTATCTACAAATCTACTACTACGAATCGTCTAGAATTACACACCATTGCCTCTCTCTCGCTCGTTTTACTATCTCTACTCTCGCCGAGATGTCCCCATCGCAAACCACCTGAACTTTCAATCATCTTACAATCATTCCGCAAAAGAGATCGATTTTATTGGGAAAATCCTAGATTAGATGTATTCGGAATAAATTTCAGAACCTTCAGAGTCATCGACTGCGCTATGACTTGCGAGGCTGGTGAGTTCTGCTGCTCAATTAGAACAGCCACAACCCTGCGGGGCAGCCGGGCTCCGGCTCCCCATTCTGACTTTATTAAATTAACGTTTCATGTTCGTTTAATGAACAAAGGAAGCCGAAAATAATGATGCTCCAAGGGAGGCGAGTTCGCGGCGCAGACTGTGACGGAGGGAGGGAGTGTAAACGTGTCGCATGGCCACCCAAAGACCAAAATAAAAGACGCAAATGCGAAAAATGCCGCAAGATGTTGCCGCTGCTACTTTTGGTGTAACAAGCCACTCTAATGACAATATTGGCACTTACAACAACAATAACAACAGCAGCAGCAGCCAAGGCCGCGGC